TACAAAGAGAAAGTCTAGACTGGGAGCAGATAATAGGGGGATGTTCTACAAAGGCAAAATATTCAAAGACAGAGAAGCCTTGAGGGATCACTCGTGCCTCAAAACAAGGCTGTATCTACAATTGGCCTGGAAATGACCTGGATGGAACACCTTTACTTTCTGTACACTGTCAGAAAACCACACATATCTTGTTATTATATTCACACACTTCAAATGACTTTACTTGTTGACAATCTCTAGATTTACATAGGACAAGCATACCATAGCACATTTTGCATAGCATATTGTTAAAACTCTCTTGTAGAAGCCATTATTCCTTTCTTTGTGCTGTCAGCTCTTGATGCTGAGCCAGTGACATGAACTCTGTGTGCCATGGAGTACTGCTGCCTTTTCACTCGTGTAGGGAAATAATTTCATTCCATCCTTTTGGAGCAAATATCTAACTGGGAGGAAACATGATGAAGAAGAAAGAGTGAAAAAATTGTGGAAAAATACAGAGATGAAACCAGCTAGAAGTATTCCATATTAACAAGATATAAAAAAGCTGAAAATACACTTGGTTTATGGTATTTCCCTTCTGTCCGAAATGTCCAGAATTGTCTCTCTTTCCTCATTGATTCCTTTCTGGCCTTCTTCAACTAGCCTGTGAATTGTGCTGTAATGCTGTTTGCTGCTGTTGAAAGAGTAGAGCTGGGAAGCATCTTCCCATGCCTGGAAAGCTGGCAGGGAAATGGGTTCTGGTTCCTTGTTTTCAAAAAAGCACTTCAGGTTTCGCTCACTCAGCTTGGTGGCATACAGCTGGAAAATCTGCTCCAGTTGCTCTTTCTCCGTCCCCTCATACACTCTCCAGAACATCAGCTGGAGGTGGCTGACTTTTGACTGGCAGCTGGCACAGCAAGAGGTTAGCAGGGAGAGGAGAGCTGTGGTAACTATCACACACCAGCCTAAAATCTGGGAAGGCAAAATAAATCAGTTTCAGGTTAAAAAGACCCAAGTGAAAATGCTACTTGAATCATGAATGTCTAATAAAGTGACCACACTTGATTTCCATTTGATGTTAGTGGAACATCCACGTGGGGATTTGCCTTAGGTTGGAAATGGGAATGTGCATTCTATTCCCATCTGTTAAAGGTGGGGTGGTTATCTTCTGTTAATTAAGCTGTTTTCTTTATCTCTTACACAACTAATCCTCCCTCTGGGAGATATATTCTGTTAATAGGCCAATGAGTCTCACTGCTGTGACTGATAAAAAATGCATCATCCCATTGTGAGAAGCTCTGCCCTAGGGGAGGAGCCAAGCATCCTTACCTGGATATAATCTGATCTTTGTAACACCACAGTCAGCCTTTTCCCACTGGATTCTGAGGAGCAGCTTTTTCCCACTGGATTCCCACAGGAGCAACTGTCTTCTCCACTGGATTCCCAGGGGAAGACCAGGTCCATTTACACCACCAGCAGACCTTCAGAGGAAACCTACACCCTTCTACAGGATCTGTGCTACAACAGAACCACATCTGTCACTCCAGGACTGCAGCCACCATTTAATTAGTCTGCTACCAACAGCCTGACCCACAGGATGTCAAACTGTATTCTGACTCTGTCAGTGGTTTGTTTTCTTTTTTTGTACTATTATTTTTGTATTTTTAATTTTCCTAATAAAGAACTGTTATACCTATTCCCATATCTTTGCCTGAGAGCCCCTTAATTTCAAAATTATAATTCAGAGGGAGGGTTTTACATTTTGTATGTCAAGGAAGGCTCCTGCCTTCCTTAGCAGACACCTGTCTTTTCAAACCAAGACAGGACTGAGGAGAAAGTCCATCAGCATAGAGGCTTCTCAATACTGCTCCTTTTGGTGTCTCTTTGATAAAGAGTAAAGTGTTTCCTAACTCCTGAAAGCATAACATAAAACTACCCAACAAGAATTACTAATTTTGAATCATGAAGAACTACAAAATCAAAAAGGGCAAGTAACTTTTTTTCTAGATCAACCAACCTTTTAAACTATGACCACTGTTATATGTTTTGTTTTCTGACTTCTTTTTATTAGGGAAAAATGTCCAACAAAACAACTACATAATTAACCAGCATCACTCAACTTCTTTTTTCTGTAGCAGCTTCAGATTTGGACAAAATTCTGTCAGGAACATTTTAAAAGAAAGAGCCACTTCCATAATTACTTCCTCAGTAAGGGGAGAGAATGGAAAAATGTGCTTGAAATGGTTATTGTGGGATGTTCTATAAGGAGAGCAGCAGTGTGGACACAATTTTTCCTGCCTTGTGCCACTGGCTAGCCAATGGTTTTACTTGTCTAATCCACTGCAATGTGTTAAAAAAAAAAAAATAATAAACTTGTTTTCAAACACTGGGACAGTTCCATTCTGGGACAAAGATTCTAAGGCTCAGAGGCTTGTATGAACTGGAACTGATTTCCCATGCTCTAATGGTGATGATATGGAGAGCTGCATCCTTTCTCACGTGAACTCTTGCACTGATGTTAAAAAAAATAACCAGCAGTATAACAGTATAAATCTGTGTTTAGCTGATGGAATATAGAACGTTTCTTCAGGGAAGTCTGTGAAACAGAGAAGCTTGACAAACAACTATTTTTAGGAACTGATATGGAAGAATAGTTAGAGCTTTTCTTTATTTTTCCCAATCACTTTGTATTGACTGCCGATTTTTATGGGTATTTGAGAAATTGCTCTTTTTAGCAGTTTTTCACTTTCTTGCAGCTTGGAAAATGAACTCATATATTCTCATGCTAAAACTGAATCCCTGGTCTTTCAGTATTTTCTATACATACAACAAAAAGTCTTAAGCACTATCTGTTGTTGCTTTCTAAAGCTATCAAATAAATTGCTTTGTCGGCAGTGCAGTCTTTGTCCTATTTGCATGAGGACTTGAAAACAAAACCAGCTCTTGGAAAGGAAATTGTTCCAGATGGATACAATTCCTGACAAAAACTTGCTGGCTGCACAGACTCTTCCCTTTTCTTTAGCTTTTTTAAAATTCTCTCCACTGTTTTGATTTTTTTCCTCTGAATTTATTTGCATTACAATGCAGAGAGCAAAACTGTACTGCACAAATACTGGAAAATGTAATAAGATCTCAGTTTTGCATGATCTGCTTGCTTTATTGTTTCTCACTTCCTCCAAGCAGGACAAAAACATGCTTACATTTGGCATCATGAAAATGAGGAGCACAAAAAGAAATACATTATGTAAACACTCAAAAGATATTTCACAAATCTTGTTTTCCAAGATGACAAAAAAAAAAAAAAAAAAACTCTACAGTTATCACAACGATTTAAAATAGGAGAGTGTGGCATGAATATTTTAACAGGACAGACCCCTTTAATGAGGTGACATCTGTTAAATC